CGGGGAACGCTGCAGCTGGGGTGGACCTGAGCCCTTGGTCCTTTCTCGATTACTGCAGCCAGACCCACGGGTGGGTCTCTCTGCGACCCACCCGTGGGGGTCTGCACCAGGAGACAACAGCCAGTTTGGGAGGGATTAGGGATCTCTAAGGTATGACTGGATGCAATAGGATTACGTGTGACTTCGTAAATCGCACTGTGGACATTGAGCTGGTGCTTCCCCTCAAAGACAGCGATCACTCACCCGCAGTGTAGGGTGTTTCTACCAGGATTTAGATGCCCAGAGGATGGGCAGGAACCCCCAGATCAGGTGAACCCCATCCCGAAAGCAAAGCCCAAAGCTCAGCACTCCCTGGCACAGTGTCCTGCCTGTCACTGGAAATGAGTGCCAGCCTCTATCGCTGAGTGCATGCAAAGCTTGCACATCTCGAAAGCATCTACATGACTTAGCAGTTGGGTTTTCAAAGTGACCTCACCTCCACCCCCCAAATGTGCTGCTTGATGACATTAGTGCCTCCCCACTGGGTGGAGGCAGCTGCAGCCGCACAGTCCTGTGTGTACTTGTCTCTTATCTTCCAAAGCGAGAAAAGCCATGAGCCATAATCCTGCACCGATGTGAATATAACCACTTCTGAACAAATCCAAGTGTGTTCAGAGCAGGGATACACAAACCACGCTGAAACCACCGTCATGATACAAAATCTGCTCTTCAGGAGTCAAAAATCCATTATTTTATCCTCTGTGGAAAAAAATGGACTGACATTTCCTTGTGAGCAACTGCTGAAATAACACCTCTCCCAAGCCCCAGCAAGGGAGTCCTCAAGGAGGTGGCTGTACTGGGGAAATGTGGCAAAAAGAGATGGTGAACCTGCAGGGATCTGGCCACTTCCCTCAAAGGCTTTAAGGAGATTTTTAAACAATTTGCGGGTGTCCCCTTCCTAATAGGTTTAGGAGCCAGCACTCAGAGCCAGCTACAGGGAACAGAAATAGCGCACCGAGTAAGCCAGGGCATCACGGAAACCAGGAAACCTCCTTACGAGGTTAAAAATAAAGGCAGAGAGCAAAGCGTTTATTTAGGATGCCCGGGAGTAAAGCGGATAATTGCAGGGGGAAAAGCCAGTTTCCATGAGCACAGAGGTGTCATCAGTGAAAAGGAGATAACTGAGTCACAGTTAAATAACAGCAGCAGAAATACTTTCCCAGTCAGGCACAGCCTTGGAGCAGCCCTGGGTTTGATGAGGACTTTACCAGGAGCATGTATTGCTGTCATTGATAGCTATTTTAATTGAGATTCTGGTCTGGGACCAGGGCTCCACTGTGGCAAACAGAAAGAAAATGTGATGAAAGGATGACCCCAGACAGACTGACAGCAGGAACAGCAGCAACTGGGTAGCACTTTATACTCACTTTGCACTGTTACAAACAACCAGTTTGAACACAAGTCAAGAGAGCACCAAGTCCTTCAAGTCTCATCATGTGCATTCCCTTATTATACTTGATTTTCTTTTCACTGTCACTACCATATTTCCAGTACATCATTTGATTTTAAACTCACTTCCTTTTCAAGTAACGTCACCTTAGGTTTTTAGCTAAAGAAATCTAAATACCTGACTTCTCAGCATTTATACTGTGTATTGAGTCCCCTCGCAGAGAGTGCTGCCGGCTGGTGCTCCCTCAGCCCTCCTGCTTTGCTTAACTTGCTGCTTTTTGGTCACCAGGACACAACTCTGCGTCAGGGCCTTAAGCACTGATGAGGATGGCAAAGCGTGGGGACAATTGCAATGCATTTGTCTGGCTCTTTGGCTCCACAGGTGACTGAAACACCAGCAGCCCCTGGCAAAGACCACAGGAGACCAAAGGAGATGGAGGAGACCAAAGCGATGCAGGAGGCCTCTCACACACGCGTCCCAACGAGCCAGCACTCTCCAGCACATCACCAACCATTGGCCACTCAGTTGGTTCCTTTTGTTGCCCATTTTGGGGGCCGTGAACCCAACTCCTTCAAGTTTCTCTTCTACAAACCAAATTGGTCCAATTCATACAGACCCTTCTACACTGCACAGAAGCCAACATGCGGGTACCGCTACTGCCGCGACACTGATCACACCAAGAAGGTGATAGACGTCCTGAGTGCAAACGTTGTGAAATGGAGACCCACCCAGGACACGAAGCCGTAGTCGAGAGCAATAAAGTCCAAGCAATGAGACCAGTGACTGGTGTGACTTCAGCTTCCCATCGTGTGTCTGAGTTCTGGCCACGTGAGCTGAGGGATGGGTGGTGAGGCTGTGTCACTGCTCCCCAGAAAAACACGCAGTGTGGATTTTGCTTTAAAAACCTGATCCCTCTTGTCCTGTCACTTATTGCCAACTGCTTACACAGAGGCACTGGGTGTTGGCAGCAGCTGGCACTGCAGGAATGGGCACCCAGCAAGGCTCATCTGAACAAGTCTGGCCTTAGCACAAGCTGCAAAAGCTTCAGCAGCTTCCTCAGCTGAGCCTAAATTCTGCTCTTGCTTTGAAAGGGCACCTTCTATCCCTGGGCTTTCCTAGACACAGGCAAAGTATTGTTCCTAGTGAATGGCAAAGCAGTTTCATTTGTGGCACTCAGAAATGAGATAGTCACTGGAGGTGAAATTCAGCCGGCACGTCCCTGCAGCTCTTCTCCAGAAAGCGGCACAAACCAGTTCAGCTTTTCCATTGCCCCTTCTGGGGAACTGGATGCACCATTAGCAAATAATTCTTGAAAGAGTTGGTGAGCCTGTATCCACCTTACACATGCAGCCTTCCTGCTGTTAATGAATCCCTCACTATTCCAACCCCTCTCTGTGCTTCAGGAGGGGCTATCCCAGCCGTGTCCCCTTGGCAGGTGGGTCAGAGCCCAGGACACCCACTGAAGCTTCCTCTTCCTCACAGGTGTGTGTGCAGCGGGGGCCTGTGCCTGCTGCTGCTGGCGAGTGCAGGATTAGCACATCCAATTAGCCTTCATCAATCTAATTCCTTTTTCATAACTGTTTTATGCTGTGTAATGCCACCTGCTTTAGCAGAGTTACTCCTAATTTACTTCAGTGCAGACACAATACCAAGCTCTGCAAGACATAAATGTTGGGTTCTTTATCTTAAAGTTGTCAGATATTAAAAAGCCAGTGTTATAGGACAGACTCTGCAGTTGGAGCTCCAGTAGTCCCACAGATTTCATGACTAGGGGAGGACCTGGCCCGTGCTGCTCTCTGAGGATATACTGTTTTACCTCCCAGTCCTTCCCTGAACGCTGTGCGTCAGAGGAAAACCAACATTGGTTTCAGTCATATTGACATGGAGAATTTTTCATGGTAATTCATCATAAATGGAAATCAAAGTCACATTCAACTCCACTGGTGTCAGCCAAGTTCTGGTAGCGCAGCGGGCAGGACACGCTCCGGGACGTGCCGCGTGTGGGGCGAGTCTGGGGAAGAAACTCAACCAGCAGGACCAGAGAAATGGAACATGGGGACCTGGCAGCTGGGTGGAGAGCTGGGAGCTTCCCCAGGAAAAGACATCACAGCATCTGGTGTCTGTATTTAAAGCACTTAAAGCTTTACTAGAAGCAAAGTAATTATGCTTCTATGTTTGCCTCAGCACACCAAATCTACCCTCACCTAGCATCTCTTACGGGAGTGAAATGGTGCTTCCCTCTTCCTGAATTTCAAGCTCAAACTGGGAGCCCCTCCTGGAAATCTTCCAGCCAGGGTAAGACAAAGAGACATCAAAAAGACAGTAACAGCACAGAGAGTTCTGAGTGTTTTTCTCACTTTCTTCTTACCCTGAGTTTGGTGCAAAAGTCATTGCTCATGTGACCCCACACAAAATCATAAATAAAGTGGATTAGGAGATTACACCATCACAGAGCAAATTCCACCCTCATAATCTCCTGCTGAGCCTGTAATCTGCAAGACTTTCCCATTTTACCTCCTTTCTATTTTAACCCTGAACTCTTAATGCCTGGCAGGAGCTCATCACCCCCTGAGCCTCATTGGCCAGGGAGGGATTTGCCAGGTACTTAAATGTCACCTTCTTGTCCAAGGAGGGTTTTGTGCTTTGGAATTTTCCTGGGGAGCAGCATCTCTTGCATCCATCACCACCAACACCAGGTCGGGACAGCCCACGCACAGGCAGTTTGGCTTTTCCTGATACTGTGATCCCTGTAGTGCTGGGGACATTTGGACTTTAAAGGCAAGAAGGAAGATCTAAAAGCAAGCCTTCAAATTTCAGAAAACATCTATTTTTGGCTGCAAAGTACCCAGCGCTTGGTGTGGAGATGGGGAACATGGACGGGAAAGCCGTGGAGGAGCTGAGCACCACCGAGTGCCACCAGTGGTACAAGAAGTTCATGACGGAGTGTCCTTCTGGCCAACTCACCTTCTACGAGTTCAAACAGTTTTTTGGCTTGAAAAACCTGAGTCCAGCAGCGAGCAAATACATCGAGCAAATGTTTGAGACGTTTGACTTTAATAAGGTAAATATCGTCCTTCCCGCTGGGGCTGCGCAGGGATCGGCCGTGCTCTGCTCCCCGTGGGTGGTGGTGTGTGGTGTGTTTGGGTGTGTGCAAATACCCACCTGTGTCTGGGTATGATGTATGGTCTGATTCTCCATCGCCTCGTAAATTGTGAGATCAGTTATGTAGGGTGAAAAATGCCAGCAAAAAACTCCTCACCTGCTGCTTGTGCTGGGAGAAAATAGACTTCACCCAGCATTGACATTTCCCTTTTCATTTTTAATTATTAATATAGTGGGGTTTTATCTGCTAGTCTGTGATCCCTTTAAAATGAAGTGCCCTTTAATCCTTAAATATCCAATGTTGTGACAGTAAGGCACAAGCGAGCGGGTGAGAACAAGTGCTGCATTCACACAGAACCAGGGAGCTCCTGCAGCATGAGCTACAGTTTGCAGAACAGACCGGGTTTGGTTTTCTATTGTTTTAAATGATAAATGGATTACAGTTTCATTGACTTTATTATATGCACTCAGTCCCATAGGACAAGGAGCTTGAGCCCTTGGTTCCCTGTGGAGAGGGTTTGTACCTGGGGCTGGGGCTGTGGTTGTGCCAGACCCCAGCGTGGGTCATTCCCAGGACACCTGCACATGTTCAGGAGTCTTCCCAGCTCAGGACCAGCACCAGAGACACGGATGGTTGCTGTGTCTCTGAGAGGAAACAACACCCTTTTTCACTTGCAAATGATTTGAAATTGTACCTCATCTGACATGAGGAATATATTTTATGGCAACCCAAAGGGTTTGGGAGGTTTAATCCCACTGAAAATAATACAATTTAAGCCCTAAATCCTTTAGGTGCTTTTGTTTGTGCCTCGGCCTTTACCTGGCTCGCTGCCCCGGGTTTGAGCACGTGCCTGAAAAGGGAATCGATGCACAGAGAATCCTGCTGGGAATGGGGCTCAGCAGCTATTTATACCTAATCTGGCTCCTGCAGCAGTGGGATAAAGCAGATGATCTCTTCTTGAACCCACCCCGTGGTGCGGTGGCTTTGTGCATTGACAAAATCCCAGCTTGTTCCCTCACAGAGACCTTCCCTGGTTTATAGCACAGACCATTCTCCCCCAAAGTGCTCTGTATCTCCATGATATCTGCCTCGGAAACGCTCCGTGGTGGGCACTGTGTGTTCCAGCGAGCTTCCCAGGAGCTGTGACTGTCACGGGGCAGTGCGTGGTGGCACGTGAGCTCACCCCAGCCCAGCTTTGCACTGACACCATAATCCTGGCTGGAGAACCATCTGTGGGCCCAGCTGAGCATCTCTAACACCGTGGCATGAGCTGCTGGAGGGCAAACACCTCGGTGGAAAGTCAAATCTAAAACTGTTGGTGTTTTTGGAGTGAACAAATGTGAAGCAGATGCACAAACGGCACAGGGACAGAGCAGTGCCCTCCTGGATGGAGTTGTCAGCAACGTGCTGGGTCATTCCTGAGCTCATTCCTCTCGTGGAGGTTGGCATCTGAGGCCTCCTCACAGCAGAAAAGTGCTGTAGGTGTGTGCAGGCAGGATCACGTTAGGTAATCCTTCGTGGTTCATCTCCATAAGCCTGTTCCTCTTTCACCTCTGAATTACCACTGCTTTGCATAAAGAGATTCCTTTAGCACAGGCTTTCCAGGCTTCCTTAGTCCCCAAGCCAGGTACACGCAGTGGGTACATTGGTTATCAGCACGTGACAGCTCTGCACAGACCAAGGTGGAGCCGTCCCCGTACTGGGCAACAGCTTTTACCAGTAAGCACATTGGGGATCTGCACCCAGTGCTTCTGCTGGGCTCCCCAAGCCCCTGCTCTCAAGGTGGCCACATGCTGACATCTTCCTGTGGGGACTTCCACAAGTGACCAGGAAAATCACCTACTGCCTGTCTCTTTGCTTTTAATCTCACCTGGCTTCTACCCTTCTGCTTTTAGGATGGCTACATAGATTTTATGGAGTACGTGGCAGCCCTAAGCCTGGTCCTGAAAGGGAAGGTGGAGCAGAAGCTGCGATGGTATTTCAAGCTCTATGATGTGGATGGGAACGGCTGCATTGACCGGGGAGAACTGCTGAACATCATCAAAGTGAGTGGGCTCAGCTTCCTTCACAGCCCATGGTTATTAAACACAGGTAGACAGAAAGGTTTAACAGGAATATTCCAACCTGAAAGACAACTCCCTGGTATGTGAGTAGGCACTGGCCAAACCTGCTGCTTGTCCTCTGCCAGTCCTCCCACCAGGCTGGCCACCCTGGCTAGACCTGTCCGGAGCTCCCCACACCCCCACAGCACGCACACGCTCCGACACGCAGCAGCCCTTGTCTTCTCATTGCAGGTTGTTTAACTGCATCCACTGAAACCCAGGCTGAGATAAGCACTTGAATTTAATCTCAGGCTTTTCAGAGGTGAACGGCTCCTGGCTTATCCCAGTACACCCACTTAATCTTTTAATGCATTGATTGCCTTTTAAAGTGATTTTAATCTCCAGGTTTTTAGAAAGGAATTATTCCTTTCAGAACCTAACTGCCTGCAAAAAAGTTTGGCCTCTCAGGTCTGGTCACTTGGCCACTTGTACGGATGGATACAGGAATCTGCAGGATGCTCACCAATTGTCCTCTGTGTCCTCTTCCCCCCCCAGGCCATTCGAGCCATCAACCGCTGCAACGAAAAGATGACAGCTGAGGAATTCACAGACATGGTGTTTGACAAAATTGATATAAATGGAGACGGTGAGGAACTTCCTTATGCCAAGCACTGCTCCCCCTTCCCCCGTACCCACAGTTCAGTCTGCCAGAGCAATTCCAGGCTGGAATTCCCAAAGCTCCAGGACATGGGGAGAGCTGGCAGAGAGTGGCTCTCCCAGAAGGTTTAGTCCCCATCCCCTCTGTGGGCTGCAGCCACCCCGAGGGGACACTGCAAACTGCTCCTTGTCACACCAGCACTGGGGGGGTCTGCACGGGGCTCAGCTGTGATGGTATTTGGGGTGTAGGACACACAGAGCTGGACCCCAGGTCTGTGCAGCTCCTGGGGGGCTGCTCTGAGGCTGCTGGCGGAGGGAGGAGAAGGGTTGCGGGATTTAACAGACCTTTTCTGTGCTCTCGCAGGTGAGCTCTCCCTGGAAGAGTTCATGGAGGGTGTGCAAAAGGATGAGGTGCTGCTTGAGATCCTCACCCGCAGCCTGGACCTGACACACATCGTCCGGTTGATCCAGAATGATGGGAAGAACCCACATGAGCCGGAGCAGGCGGTGGAGGCTGCTCAGTAGCCACCCGGGACACCTTCCCTGCATCTCTACTTTTTTTCCCCCCCATTGCATTATTAAAACTAAACATGTTGTGGTTGCGGGAGCTGGTGAGCTGTCCCAGCACCAGTGTGACCAGCGATAAGACCATCCTGCCAGGACAGCGACCAGGATCTGCTCTGAAGGTGCCACTCCCCTGGCAGATGTCCCTGGGCACTGCGCTGGCCCTGCCTGGCACAGCCACACCAGCCAGAGGGAGGAAAGGCTGCGGTGAGGTCAGGGTGCTGGAAGCGGGTCCTTGGGATGTTGCTGCTGAGCAGAGTCTCATCTCCCCGGGATACGTACCAAGAGCCCCAAAATTCACACCAAGGCCACGGCCAACATCACTTGGCCCTGGTGAGAGGGGTCCCCCAAGGACACACGTACCAAACCTAAGCAGACCTGAACCTTCTCTTTCCATCTGTATGTCCAGAGCACTAGATCAATGGTTTTGGTCACTTGTTCTTTGGTTTGTTGTTATTATTATGTTTGCAATCATTAGTGATAATTAGTGATAAAAATATTTATGAGCTAGAAAAAGGAGAGTGGTGGAGTGGTGAGTGCAGTGGCTTTTCTTTGTTGAAAAGCATTAAAAACATAGAATAGTGCCTTTTTAAAAAAACTATCTGGATTTTAAGGGCATGTTTGTCTTTGAAATATGTGGAAGGGCTGCAGTGGCAGTACTTAGAGTTTTGAATGTTTGTAGGAATATTCCTCCATGTCTTACCACCTGTACAACAAATTTTAACTCTCCTGTAAGTCACACTCCGTGGCACCTCGAGCATCATGTGGTTTTAACTACAACAGCAGTGAACGATCTGCACACAGTTGGGAGGAGAGAGGAGGGGAGGGCAGGGCTGCTAGAGACGGGCTGGACACAGCGTCCGCACCACAAGCATCTGCAAGTACCTGAGCGTTCCATGGGTACCATCACCTGCACGGTACAGTGGGCTCAAGGACCATCCCTCATGGAATAAAACCCCATCACCCCTTATTACAGCATCCTGGGACAGCAACCTCCTCTGCAGTGCCACAGGCAGGGGCTGCACCCAGGACCCAGCACACGCACAAGGGAAGGGAGGCTGCGAGAGCAGCGCTCATCCTGCATCACCCATCGTCCCCACACCAGCCAGGGCTGTGCCTTGGCTGCTCCTGGAGTTTCCTCGTCTGATGGAAGCGAGCTTCAGGCATGGTGAGGCAGTACAGGACAGCAGGAAGGATTTCTCGCCTACCTGAAAGACTTGTTATTTAGCACTGGATGTTTGCAATTCATCAGCAACTTTCTGACCATTTCCCCTCCGAGTCTTTTTCATTTGACTGTGTTTTACCTGGAAGCTTTTGTACTTCCAACCTTATAGTGAACTAATAAAGATATTCTACAGGATTATTTCAGGTTGTGCTTTTTCTCTTTTTCAGTCTTTCACTCTATTTCCAGCAGGACAGATTAACTGTCCCAAGCAAGTGCAGAAACCTTTGCTTTGGATTCATTAGAATAGTTTTCACAAGAACAGCAGGAGTGCAAGGAGAGGTGAGAGGTCTGTTTTCTTCAGACTCAGCATGGAGAAGGGGCTGCTCCCGGGTTCTCACATCCCCTGGGCACTGCCTGCTCCTCTGAACCTCATCTGCATTGAGCAAGTGTAGCTTGCTTTCACAAAACCTCACCCTTGGGTAGTCCTAATCCAACAGCTCTTTCTTCCAGAGCTCTGCTTTATCCACCCACCTTTCCAGGCACCTCCTGCTTCCCTCCCCGCTGCCTGGGTCTGTGTAGCAGCCCCATAGATCCCTCCTGCCTCTGTGGGATGCACGTCTGCACCCCCCGACTGCGCTCGACAGCCCGGTTCATGCTGTGGTGCTGCTGGCTGGGCACACAAACCACAAGCCCACCCAGAGGAACCCTTTTCTGGGCCAGCTCATCCAGCCACCCCAGTTACACCAGTGCTAGACAGAGCAGCTGTGCTCTTAGAGCCAGGCTGAGCTGTTTCCTCAGTGTGTAACACTCCTTGCAGCAGAATTAATTCCCCCACAAACACGACACACTGCATTTCATCTGCACATTTCAGCTGAGTCCCTCTGCAGAGACGCATCCAGTCCCTCCCATGCTCCCTCCAGCCTCTCTCTCCCCTGCACGCCCAAGAAGCCACAAGCAGCAGCCCTGACAAGCCCAAATTCTATTTATAAAGCCAAAGTTATTCTAAAAGGGCTGTCTCAGAACTGCTGGCTGGCCGAAGGCACCTTTCAAACCTCAGCGTCTCTCTCCAAAGGATGTTTTTTCAGCCTCTAAGAAAGCAAATTAAAAATAATTAAAAAATAATATTGTGCCTCTCTTTGCCCTAACTCATGCATAATTAATTTATTTCAAAATAGTGGTGGCTGTTCAGGTGCCAGCCACAGGCTCATTGCTCACTCTTGTGAGGTATCAGTGGTGAGTGAGAGGCAGCACAGCCTCTGCTGAGCTGGGAGAGGCTTTTTTGGGAGCTGCCATGGAGGGACGATGGGCTGAGAGGCTGCACAGCCACGTGCCAGGTCTGAGGTCAGGTCCCAGCTCTGCTGCCCCTTTGCAGTAACCTGGGACAAGTCCCTGGAGCCAGGTGAGTTAAGATGAGTTGCAGCGACACTAAAACCATTCCGTGGGTGATTTTTGGCAGCACCACAGTGTTCATCACAGCAGGGTTTAGATGCCAAAACACCGTCAGAGCCGCAATGCACACCTGCCTTTTGAGGATGCTGAAATTGTAGATCAATGGACTGTTTGAGGTTGGGATGGATCTCAGGTGGGCTCTGCACCCACGTCCTGCTAACCTGGCAGCTGGGCTGCTCAGGGCCTTCCCCAGCCCAGCTTCGGAGGAAGGACATGGAGCAGCACTTCAGCCTTTCATACACCATCCAAGTGCAGGAGCCCAGCCCAGAGCTCTGCCATCCCGCTGAGAAGGTCCCTGCCCGACTGCCCCTCGCTGCAGCCAGTGCCACCGCTCCGTGCCACTCACCCTGGGGTGCCCTGTCCCCATCATAGCCCTTCCCCATCATGCCCCTCTACCTGCCAGCACGGGGTGGGCAGCAGCAGGTCCCAACGAGAGGAGCAGGGCAAAGGCTCACCCGATGGAGGCACATGGGTCTGCAGAGGAGCAGCGCTTGGGAATCCCAGGAACCCGCTGGAAATGGAGCTGATGAGCTCCTAGGCAGCAAAATCAAAGAGAAGCGAGATGATGAGTTCAGGAACAGATGATGGTAAATTTGAAAGCATCTCCTTCTGCATCCCTGTGTGTTAGGCTGTGAGGCCTAAAAGGCAAAGAAATGAACCAAAACAGGTTCCCAGGCAGATGCTTCTCAAGGTCCCGTATTCTCAAAGGGCTGAGGCTGCCCTACAGCACAGCTCCATGTTCCCTTCTCACACATCAGATCCCCAAACACCATTAAATTACCTCAAATAAGGGGTCTTTAAGGGTAATATGTTTAAGATACTTTCTAGACCTCTGAGGTGCACTTTCCTTTGAAGAGAAGGAAGAAGAAACAAAGTGTTTTCCAGTACTGAGAGCTGAGCACAAGTGCTGTGAGAAAGACAAATTAATATGGTGAGAGCACAAATAGTCCCTGCAGTGACCAGCACAGGGCTGTGTGAGTCCTGGCACAGCCACGCTGGTTTTCAATGTGACATTTCAAGGGCAGCTGCACACAGGTGCTTCAGGAATGACCTGGACACAAACCTTTCCTCTGGGCAGCCACCGAACCCCAGCTACCCATAGGTGAAGCTCCCCTCTCAGAACATCTCTGTGCAGATAAATAAAGAGCATGGCTGAGTACAGAGTTCAACGTGATTATTCTCTTTCCTCTCAGCCTCGTTATTTCTACTGCTCAGCACTTTCCCTGGGAATGAACCTTCCAGAGTATTTTAGGATGCGATGGCTCCCTGGCTCCTGTTCCTGATGCCTCTCCCCATGAGCCACGTTCAGTGTTCCAATATGATTATTTCACCTTCAATCCTACCCAATTTCAGGGGCATCAAACATCAGAGCAGATTGGAGAAGCTCATAAAAAAAAAAATAAGTCACATGGCATTTGCCTTTTCCAAGCCATCCTGTTTCCCAATTTAGACTAAAAAGAAATCCGATCAGTCAAATCCAATTCTAACTGGGCTGTAAGTCTGGAAAAATAGATTACACAACATATCCGACATCAACAGCTCGATGTGAATGTTGAATTGAGTTTGGGAGCAGATCAAACTGTTTATACCTATGGATTTAAAAACAGGACTAAGACTAAAGCACCTTGCTATTTCTTGACAAAAGATTACACAATTGGTAAGAGGAACAATTTTCCAGCGGGTTATGCCAGCACCAACATGAGTGTTACCTGCCACGTGCACCACGACCACTTCAGTCTGCCAGGCCAGAGGAGGTGGAGACACCCTGCACCCCACTGCCACATCCAGCACTCTGAGCCCTAAGTTCTTCAAGGTTCCTGTTCCACTCCTGGCAGGGTGAAAACAAGGGTTATCTCACTGCAGCACAGATAACTCACTTTATTGTGAGCACCTACTTCAAATTCCATTCAGATTTTTTTTATCATACACATGCTTTTCACTGTCATTACATAAAGTTAAACAGAAGATACTCCTTTCCTACTCTGCACCTGCAACAGCATCACCATCTCTGCCTTATATTTGTCTTACCCAGGTTAGTTACACTTAACACCTCCCTTAAATTCATGATGCCAGTCTTCAGGTCTGATACTCAGGTGCTTACACAGGCCTTCACCTTCATTCTAAGTGAAAAATAAATACGACAAAACAGAATTTGAATAAATAATTCTTTATTAAGTTCATGCATTACAAAGTTTCTACCAACAGCCGTACCTGTGCTCAGTGTTAGGATGCCCTCTACCACCCTGGCAGAGGACTGCTGGTGTGGGGGACACCAGACAGCTCCTTCTCTGCCCCATCTGACCAGGTGAACAAAGAAAGAACATGTAAAGCATTTAAGTAAACCCGC